CTCTGTGGCGGGCCCACCTATAAACAGGCCGGGGCGCTTCGCCACTGCTCGGAAATGGAGGCGCTGTGGGCGTTAAGTCGGGCTGCACCCGCACGGCGTCGCCGTCGCCATCGAGTATGACCGGCCGGCCGCGCCAGACCACGCCAAGACGCCGCCGCGCGAACGTCGGGCCGCGGCGGATCTGTCGGGATCTCGTGGGGCGCACGGAGGCACGCTACTACGGTGTGTCCTCCTCGGAGGCGCGCGTCCGACCCGAACAGACAGCATACCCATCTTGTGGTATATCGCTTCTCGAGCGGCGTGGCCGGAAGGCGCCCGCCACGACGCAGATATGCTGCGAGATTTCGAAGTGTGCGCGTCGCCAAGGAGGGGGGGGGGGGGGGCGACGCACACCTACCAGTATTGATTACTATGTTGGGGTGCCGCCGATCTCTCGGAGTCGAAGCGGATCGCGCCGGCCAGAGCTGATACATATACATATCTCTATACATATATATATATATACACATATAAATATACATATACACATGCGTATATGCATATGTATGTATGTATATATATATATAGGTAATCTATGTTTGTATACACATATATATATATATACACACACCGAGTCGGACCGACGTCAGGCCGGAGCGGACCATGCGAAAGGTGGGCCTGGCCAGGGGGCGGCGTGGGTGTGCAGTTGGCGCCACCCCGTACAGCCCCCACTTCTGGGCCAGGGGCTTGGGCTTCGCCTCGGGCGGACGGGGAGGAAAGCACGGCAGAAGCGTGGGCCCGCGGAGGTCCGCGCGGCTTCTGAGATCGGCGCTGGACCCTCTGGAGGCGCCTCTGGCGCCGGGATCCAGCGCCGACTCCAGAACTCCGCGCAAGCCTCCGAGAGCTTGTGCTTGTGCACATCTGTGTTGTTTATTGTTTTTTTCTTCTCCTCCTCCTCTTCTTCTTCTTCTTCTCGGAGCACAGAGAATGGACGCAGCGGCAGCTCAGAGACGGCCCGTCGACCACTCCCGGGGGTCTCAACGCACCACAGCTCTCCGAGCTGCGTCCCACCGCGGCGACGGAGGCCCCCCGAAGGCCCACTGCCGCTGCCCCCACTCGCCTGCCTCTGCCTCCCGGAGCCTCCAGCAGCGTCGACATCTGCGGACGCTCGGCGGTCGCGAAGGCCACGAAGACGGGGTCGCGCCTCAGCTCGATGGACACGAACTCCACCGCGCGGCTGTCGGCCGCCACCGCGGCCAGCACCACGTCGCTCTCGCCGTGGAGCCCCGTGGACGCGAGCCGCAGCGCCAACCCGCTCTGCGACACGGCCGCGTTCACCACGTCCGGGTCCGCGCGCAGCTCGGCGGACGCGTGCGCCAGCGCGTCGCCGTTCTGAGATGGTTAGGCTTCGGGCTGCGCGCAGACCCTGAGACCGGTGTGCTGCAATCTTTCAACACAGGGTGCCTTCGCCTGGTTTCGGGCCCTGAGACCACCACAGACCGTCTTTCAACACCGGGTGCCTTCGCCTGGTTTCGGGCCCTGAGGCCATCGCAGATCGCCTTTGAACACTGGGTGCCTTCGCCTGGTTTCGGGCCCTGAGGCCATCGCAGATCGTCTTTGAACACCGGGTGCCTTCGCCTGGTTTCGGGCCCTGAGGCCATCGCAGATCGACCTGGCTCGAGAAGTGCAGCAAACAGCTGGGGTCTCTGAGGCTCTGGTCGTCGTTCCCTGAGATCCGACGCTGCAAAACATGACAACATCGCAAAACATCACCATTGGAGCCTGATGCCCCTGGCCCCATCTTTCTGCGGCATGTTTCGAGCTGGACCGATCTGTGAGGGCCCCGAGGGCCCGAAACTGGGCGAGATCGCCCCTTTTTGCGCAACAGATTGCAAAAGGCCAAGATCTCAGGGTCTGTCGAAATGCTGCACTTCTCCGCAACGTCGGATCTCAAGGGACAGCCCCCCCAAGCAATCCCGACTGGCCTCGACAGGCACCCCGAGCAGTCCGAGGCGGCCTCCTCGACGCCCCGGCGCCGCCTGCGGCGGCCCTCTGGGGCGAACCGCGCCTTAGGGCTGGGGCACTGAGATCGCCTCGGGCCGATCGGGGGGGGCCTGTTGAGGTCAAGTGGGGCTGGTGAGCACTTTCTTTGTCTCAGAATGGGAAAAAATACCACTGCTACCTTTCGCTCGTTTTCCCCTTCTTGGGCCTCCTGGGATGCCCTCGTCCCAACCGCTGGATCCGCCTCGAAATTCTGGTCAGAACGCACCCCGGGAGAGGGCCAGGGAGTAGCGGTATCGGTACCTTCTGTGGTTTCCCCAGAACGTTTTCTTCTTCGGCGTTTCGACATTGGGCGGAGGGAGGGGAGGGGGGGGTCTGGCTCCCGACCTCGGCTTCATGCGACTGTTTGCAACAGTGCGTCCTATGAGGGAGACTGAACCTGCTTGATGCAGGCGCCAAAAACAGCCAGGATCTATCAGACACACAGAGACATGCTTATACTAGATGTCCTCCTTGGAGACGTGCGTCCGATCCGAACATATAGTACACCCATCTTGTAGTATATCGTTTCCCGAGCGGTGTGGCCAGAACGCGCCCGCCACGACGCATATACTATAAGATTTCTCGGTGCGGGCGTCGCCCCTGGGGGGGGGGCAACGACCATATAGTATAAACATGTCGGGGTGACGTCGAATCTACTCCATGGGGGAGGGGGGGGTGCGAGGGCACGCGCCGACCGGTAAAACAACGAATAAGAGAACGATCACCCACTGAGGGGGCTGTCTGCCCTAGAACTGACGATGCAGACCAACCATGCAGCATCGCGAAGAGATGCAACCGAGGCCCCTGCATCCTTTTTCGAGCTGGGTCGACCCGTGATGTTGGTTCCGGGGTCCGAAGTCCGCTGGCGTGAACAGATTGCACCGCCCGGCTCGCAGGGTGTGCGCAGCCCTACGCCTCACCATTCTGAGACACCGCCGCCGCCGCGACGCCCGGGTCTGCCTGCAGCCTGGCCGAAGCGTACGCCAGGGCCAGGCCGTCCTTGAGGGGCAGCGATAGGGGGGAACTGGAGCAGACCACAAATAGTTCTTGGAACATTACTTGGTGGGCCTATGGCCCAACCAGGACGCTTCGCCACTGCTCGAGTCCTGCCGCACGGCCCGGAGCACCACCTCCCTGTCGTCGCGCAGGTGGGGCGGGGCCGACAGCAGCGCCGCGCCGTCCTGCGAGACCGCGGCCAGCACCAGCTCGCGGTCGGCCCGGAGCTGCCCGGAGACCTCTGCGAGCGCGGCGCCGGCGCTGGCGACCGCGGCCAGCGCCACCTCGCGGTCGTCGCGGAGCTCGCAGCTGGTGAACTTCAGCGCCAGACCGGCGTGGGCGACCGCCTCGAGGAGGATGTCGCGGTCGTTCTGGAGCTCCCACGAGGCGTGCTGCAGCGACATGCCGTCGCTCCTCACGGCGGCCCTGACGATGGCCTCGTCCCTGCGGAAGCCCAGCTGCACCAGGGCGAGGTTCGCGCCCTTCGCCTGCACGGCGGCCTGGACCACAGACTTGTCGTTGCGAACCTCCGGTGGGGCCATGGCAAAAGCATCCGGGAAGGTGCTGAGAGCCTCCATCGTCACGTCGGGGTCGCGGAGCGGCGCTCCAACCACGTGCCTCAACGCGGAGCCGTCCGCGCGGACTGCCGGCATGACGACCTCGTAGTCTCCCCGCATCGCCTCCGTGGCGCAGGCGAGGGCGTGAGGATTCTGCTCGACGGCCGCCAGGGCGACGCCCTTGTCCCCCCTCAGCTCCTCGCTGGCGTACGCCAGAGCCTCGCCGCTCCGCGACACGGCCGCGAGTGCCACCTCGCGGTCCGCCTGCAGCTCCGCCGAAGCCACCGAGAGCGCCAAGCCCGAGGAAGCTATGGCAGCCAAGACCACCTTGGCAAGGCTCCGGGCTGCGCACAGACGGCCCGCCCAGGTAGTGCCGGCTGGCCTCGACAGGCCACCCGAGTAGTCCCGGGCGGTCGCCATACCCCAACCCTGGGGCGCGGAGCGCCCCAGAGGCGCCGCCTGAGGCGGCGCCAGGGTGTTGAGATTGCCCCTGCTGAGACCGCCCCTAGCTGGCTACTCGGGTAGCCTGTTGAGGCCAGATGGGGCTACCTGGGGGGCTGTCTGCGCGCAGCCCAAAGTCTTACAGATCACCTCACGGTCTCCGCGGAACTCGGGGGGGGCGTGCTCGAGGGCGGCCCAGTGGCACTGCACTGCCTTCAGCACTATGTCCCGCCGCGCCCTCAGCGCCTCCGGCGCGAGGGCCAGGGCGTGGCCGTTCTGGGTGACCGCCGCGAGCACAACCTCGGGGTTGGCCTGCAGCTCCGGGCTGACATGCCGCAGAGACAGGCCGTCCTTGGCGAGTGCCTCGAAAACTGCGTCTGGCTCAGACAGCGTTGGCCCTACAAGCGAACCGCCTCCAAGAGCGCCCATCTTGCGAGCGACGCCCCGATGCAGACGGGACTCGCGGCAGATACTCGGGCCGAAATGGCTACACTCCATGGCGATCACGCAAGGTGTTTTGGGGGACTTCCGTTTCACGTCGATTTACCCCCAACCTCTGACGTAATGTGTTCGGGGAGGGGCGCCAGTCCAACCCACTGTAAAAAGGATGGCGAAACAGGCTCTGAAGGATCGACCCAGTTGGTGGTAGAGAACGCGGCTGTGTGAATGGTATCTGTGTCGGCTGCAACCATGGCCAACCAGAATTGTGGACGTGTCTGGCTTCATACCCACAGCCCAGGCACGGTTCCAGAATGAGCCGAAGGCCACTAGATATATGCATATATGTTCGCCAGCGTGGACTTCACACATAATATATTATAGCACATTCGGTGGTGTAATGTATGTGGCGCTCGCTAAGTGGTGCCATATTGGGTTGTCAAATATGTGGCACAATCTACGTTAAGCAACACTTGCTGTGTAAGCTATGTGCGATCGATGTGCGCAATATAGAAAGTGCCATCTGCGTGGTGCAATCTGTGTGGCTCAATCTATGTGGTGCAATATGTGTCGTTCAATCTGCGTGATGCAATGCATGCGGCGTGAATTGTGTGGTGTAAGACATGTGGTGTGAGCTACGTGGTGCGATGTATGAGTGGAATCGGCATGGTGCAATGTATGTGGTGCAGATATTGCTCGCGCAATCATCCCACGCACCCACCCGCAACTTGGTTTGCACAACCCACGCGGCGGCCATTGAGATGGCTGGCGCGTCGCTGCGGCGGCTCTGGTGCGCGCAAACTCGCGCGCAAAGCGGCCGGCTAGTTCGACTCAGCCGACGTGGCCGCGGTGGCGCTGACCGCCAGGGACTTCTCAGCGCGTCTCGCAGGCCGCGCTGACTAGACGATGACGATGACGGCGGCAAGGCCAATGCCAGCACAGATGCTGATCAGACCGATGACGGTGATGGTGTCCAAGTGTCGGTGACGAAGGTTTTGGAAGAGGTTTTGAAAGGATTTTAACATGCGCGCGCGTCCGACGGGCGTGAGTAGCCCGCATTGATTCATTTGGGAAGGACCGTGCTCCTCAACATGCGCGCAAGGGCGATCGAGAGGCCCGTTTGGTCGCATTTGGTATGTTGAACAACCTATTCGCAAGAGCGCGTTCTCTACAACAAAAACCATCGTGAAAAACTATGTGTTTTCATATGTGTTCGGGACACTCGATTTCGAATTATACGACCCCTACTGTGTTTGAGAGATGTCGGCATGCGCGTGCGATGGCGCGCGCGTGTGCGCGTCTTCCCATCGTGTGCAAGGGACTTTGCAAACTGATGGTTTCTGATACGAGCGAGTGCGCGCGCACAGTATGAATTGAAGAAGGATCAGGGGGTGCCGATCGTGTCTTGGTTGGGTCGGTAGGAGTTGAAATTTAGAATAAGCGATGAGGCATCACATGAAATTTGCACACCCCCAGGGGGTAACGACAATCCTGGCCTCGGGGGGGCGGTTGATACTAATTCCTTCTCTGATGTACGCGACGTGGTGCAATATATGTGGTGCAATATGTGTTGAGTGACCTACGTGGTGCAATCGGCGTGTTTCAATATATTGTATGCAATCCACTATGTGGTGCAATATGTGTGGTGTAAGCTACGTGGTGCGATGGCAGTTAAGCAACCTATGTGATATTTGTGGTCCTGAGGTATGTGGTGAAATCTGTGCAGTGCAATCTACAAAGCTCGCAAAATCAAAATTGCAACCAACATGCGGCGGCGACGGGCGACGCGACGACAAGCCGGCCGCACCGACGCACAATCCGCGTGGGCGGCAAGACGCCCCAAGAAGCTTCCAACGGGGGCTCCCAAGAGAGAGCAAATGCCACATTCCCAACGGAAAACGTACATGTTCAGCATCTTCGCCTCTGGGGCGTTCACAGCCTCGAAGACGCCCCAAGAGGCCCTCATGATCGCTCCAAGACGGACCAAGAGGCCCCCAAGAGAGCTCCAAGACGGCCCAAGAAGGCCCCACCCAAGAAGCCCCAAAGACGGACCAAGAGGGTCCCAGGACGAGCCCAAGAGGGGGCCCAGAGAGGAAAACATGTCTTTTCGAGCCTTCGACCCCAAGATGCCCCCAGGAGGCTTCAAGAAGCCTCCAAGAGGCCCCAAGAGGCACACAAGAAACGCCCAAAAGGCCCCCAGTAGGCCCGAAGAGGACCCCCAAAAGCCTTCCCAGTGCCGCCGAGAAACGCCGAGGATGTCCTCTTCCTCCACGTCCTCCACGTCCTTCTCTTCCTCCTTCTCCTCCTCCTCCTCCTCCCTCTCCTCCTCCTCCTACTCCTCCTCCTCCTCCTCCTCCTCCTCCTCCTCCTCCTCCTCCTCCTCCTCCTCCTCCTCCTCCCCCTCCTCCTCCTCCTGCCCATCCTCCTGCTCCTCCCGTTCCTCCTCGGCCCTCGGCCTCCTGCTCTTCCGGCTCCTCCGGCTGAACTCCTCCTCCTCATCGTCTTCATCCTCATCCTCCTCGTGTCATCCTCATCACCATCATCATCCGTATCGCCATCATCGTCATCATAATCATGATAATCGTCATATTCGTCATCACCATCATCATCATCATCATCATCATCATCATCATCATCATCATCATCATCATCATCATCATCATCATCATCATCATGATAATCATCATCATCAGCATCATCATCATCATCATCATCAGCAGCATCATCATGATCATCAGCATCATCATCAGCATCAACATCATGATCATGATCATGATCATCATCAGCAGCAGCAGCATGTTCACTCTTATCTTCATCACCATCATCGTCATCAGCAGCATTATATCAGCAGCATCATCATCATAATCATCAGCATCATCTTCATCATCAGCATCATCATCATCATCATCATCATCATTATCCTCCTTTCTTCTCCTCCTCCCACCTCCTCAACCTCCTCCTCTTCCACCTCCTCCTCATCCTCCTGCTCCTGTTTGACCCATCCTCCTCTTCTTTTCATCTCGTCCTCTTTATTCTCCTCCTCCTCCTCCTCGGCCTCCTCCTCCTCTTCCTCCTCCTTTAACTCCACCTTGCTGGCATTCTCTTGCTTTTGCTGCCCAAAAGTGTCACATCCAATCGTCCGCCTCTTCATCCCCCTCCTCCTCTTGGCCCGCAGACCCCTCCCGCGCCCATCAGGTCTTCATCCCCAGATCGATGTTTGACGGTCCCAATGAACACATGAAACCCCCCAGAACCCCCCAGAAACATCCAGTATGCCGTCATAGAGGGAGGAAGAAGGAGAAGAAAAAGGAGGAGGACCAGGATGAACGTCGTCTTCTTTGTCGTCCATTTTGACGCGGCTCCGGAGCGCCCCGGATCGGCGGCATTGGATACTAGAACCATCGCGCGCGCTTCGCGCGCGCTCAGGTTCTAGCAGGCCCCAGGCCTCGACGAATTCACTGCTCCACTGAAGTAGTGGACCACAATCCACGCATGCCAATTTGGACAGAAAGGCCTTCGAAGAAAACGGTTGCGTAGGGGGGCGGAGGCCGTATGAATCGGGTTCCCAGAAGGCCTTCTGGGAGCATGGGTTTGGGGCGTCTTGGGGAGCCTGTTGGGGCGTGCCGTCGTCGTCGTCGTCGTCGTCGTCGTCGTCGTCGTCGTCGTCGTCGTCGTCGTCGTCGTCGTAATGTCGCTGTCGCTTATCTTATTGGGGCGCGCCGTCGTCGTCGTCCTCGTCCTCGTCGTCGTCGTCGTCGTCGTCGTCGTCTTCGTCGTTTCGTCGTCGTCGATTCAAGAGGACACTTGGGGCAACTGTGTGCGAAAAGATCTGCGGAGGGCCGCGAGAAGGCGATCAGTCATGTTCCCAATCAACTTCCCAGACAGCTCTCCTGAAGCATGACTGTACTTCGAAGCCTCCGGAGACTCGCGGGCCCATGATGAACCATGTCCCCGAAGGCTTTCTGGGGACATGGTTTGTTGGGGTGTGTTGGGGGGTGTCTTGAGCGTTCCCTGGGAGCCCCTTGGGGGCCTCCGGGAACTCTCGGGCCCATGATGAACCATGTCCCCGGAAGGTTTTCTGGGGACATGATTTCTTGGGGTGTGTTGGGGGGCCTCTTGGGCGTTCCCTGGGAGCCCCTTGGGGGTCTCTTGGGGCTTCCTGGGGGCCTCTTGGGCGCCTCACGGGGCTTCGTGGGAGCCTCTTGGTGGCCTCCGGGGGCCTACAGGCGGCCTCTAGGGCCAGAGACCTTGAAATGTCGGTTGGCGGTCCCCCATCTGGGCCCTCTCTTGGGGAGCTCTTGGGGCGCAGTTGGGCTGTCTGGGGAGCCTCCTGGGCCGTCTTGGGGCCCTCTTCGCGGCCTCATGGCCCGTCTTGGAGCGATCTGAAGGGCCTCCGAGCGAGGCCGCGAGGGAGCGCTGGGAAGCGGGGAAAGCGAGAACGCCTAGTCTTGGGGCCCTCGTCGGGGCCTCGTGGGCCATCTTGGAGCGATCTGAGAGGCCTCCGCAGACAGACAGACAGACAGACAGACAGACAGACAGACAGACAGACAGTCAGGCAGACAGACAGACAGACAGACAGACAGACAGACAGACAGACACACAACAGACACACACACACAGTCAGACAGTAGAAAGGGAGGCGGAGGAGGATGGAGAAACCGCGGGGGCGAAGACCAGCGGCGAGAGGGGCACGTGCTGGCGGAGCCCGGGCAGCCCCGACGCCCCGAGGCCTTGCTGGGCTGCGGGGCGCTCTCGAACACCGAGGGGGCATCGCCGGCGGTGCCTGGCCGGGCGGCGGGGCGACGCCGACGAGGCGCCGACGGCGGCGACGGCGACGGCGAGGCGCCGTGGTCGACGACGCCGACGGTCACGCGCCCGCGCCGATTTTTCGAAGTCAAGAAAGACATGAACAAACATGTTTAAAAACAAAAAAACGATCCACCGCCACAGATGTGACCTCGTGGCGGCACCGCCATGCACACCACAGTTAT